AGACAGATAGCAAGACACACAGCTAGGAAACTAAAGAAAAAGTTAGTAATTATATAATACTTTAACTACATGTACATTATATACTGATGTACATGTACATGAATATTAACTCACTAGTACCAGTATGCATACTGTACATAACTTACTATTAGTACATAGTATGAGATCCATATGTCTACTCTACATGTACATGTAAGTATGCATCTTTATAATGTTTCATTTTTTATCCTCTTCCTTCTTTTTTCTTATTCTCCCCCCCCCTCTCTCCACCATTCCTCCCTCAGATTGGGTTACACTGTATCACAACAAACTCTTGAAGGTGAAGAGTGCCCTGCAGTAAAGCACCTAATGGGAGATAAACTAGAATATGCACCACTAACCTCCCCTGCCTCTTACACCCCAAGACTCTTCCAACTCTCAGGATCCACTGGTTGGTTCAGAGCCACTGAAGAGACTCATGTGGCCTGCCCTGAGGATATTTCCATTGTTCCTGATCACTTTCCATTCACACAAGAAACAATATACACTGCTGTGCAACCAGGTATACCCTCAATTAGTTTCAATTTTTTTCATTTTTTCATTGCATGTACATCTATGTCAGTCTACATGTATTGTATACAATGCATGTATAAGTTGGGTCGACCCAATTTATACATGCATACAATACATGTACATGTAGATTGAGATAGTAAAATATGCAGATCTATTTTAGGGTCCTTAAATGGACCTGCATATTTGTCGTTCCTGCTGGAATATAATCCCATCTGTTTACATGTAGTAGAGTTTTTATTATACTGTCAATGTGCATGTATATTTTTGACCAACAATTCACATTTTTACTTATAATGTATACTGTTTAATGTATAATGTATAATGTATACAATATACTACTGTACAACCAGGTATACCCTCAATTAGTTTTTATATTACTTATGTACATGTACCTCTATCTCAGTTGATATGTATAAAACACGTACATGTAAGTTACAATGTAGATCCCTGCATATTTTATTATACATGTGTATTTGTCATTTCTGCTGGAATATTAGCCCATTTGTATATTAGAGATTTTATTGTTCTATTCGATTTACATGTATGTTTTTGACCAACAATTCACATTTTCACTCATGTATGTATACCACTTGTAGCTGTGTTTCTAATTGATGCCCATTCTGTCCTATACCTCTGGTTTGGTTGGTGGCCTGAACAGAAGAATGCTTTATTAAGGGAAAAGAACGCTTTCTCTGGCACAGCAATGTCCCGCTGGGCACAAGAAAAGAAACTATCACTTGAAACAGCTCTTAACTACGCTAAAGGTATAATTACACTGTACTTGTACATGTACATGTACTGTACATGTTGCATGTAGAATTTTGTGTCATGTATTATAGACAATTTGACTAAAAATAGGAGCTACAATGTACATGTAATACTTACACTGTAGGCTCTGGGTTTCCTTGCAAAACATGCTAAATGCAGCTAAAAAGCATGCTGATATAACATATGGAGCAACTTTAAAAATTCATAAAAAATCCAGATTTGATTGGAATCAGCTCAAACTTTCTACGCAACATAAGTACATGTATATGTATCAGGAAAAAATATTAAAGTGGAGAATTCTCTTCTTTTCAATTTTGGCAAAATTTGGTCCGAGACCATGTATATAGTAGAGGGACTTTTGCTCGATTTTGGAGCAACTTTAAAAATTCATAAAAAATTCAAATTTGATCGGAATCAGCTCAAACTTTCTACGCAACATAAGTACATGTATATGTATCAGGAAATGTACTCTCCCCTAGATCTAAGAGTAGTTATGGATGTTATTGTACATATATATAATTTAATGAACTAATTAATTATTTTATTAATTTTATTTACTTATTTAGAGAGTGGGAGGAGTCCATTACCCACATTATATGTGGTGTCTGCTGGCTCTGAAGATTTGGAGTTTATAAACTTATTTCCTTATTGGAGAGACAATCCTGACGTAGTCAAACTAAACAATGTAAGTTAGATTAACCTACAGTGTACATGTACATGTCACTAATAATTGAAATGAAATAATACAATGTATCTACATGTACAATGCATAGTATTCAGCCTACTAATACATGTATGGTGCATACGATGTTAAAACTTCTAATGTGTACAGTAGTGTCTAATTCATTTTTTAATATTTATATATACAGTACAGTGTCTATAACAATTAAGTCTTAATATAATTGCAATGTACATTTTTATACTTAATTTCTAACAGGCACAGGCTGGTGATGGTACAATTGTTAGAAGTCGAAGATCAGGCGAAGAGGAATTTTCTAAATACACGAGAACTTCTTATAGTTTGGAGGAGCTAAAGAAGAGACCAGAGGAACTGAATCATAATAAACTGGAGACTTATCTCTCTGACAAGGACTTTCAAGTAAGAGTTATTTTAAATTACACATCTTATCTACACGTATAATGACGAATTGATGGCACTGTACATGTACACGTATCATGTACATATATGTATATTGTGCAGTACATAAATTTACTGTGCAATACTGAATGTTCTGTTGCTCCAAAATCTGCCCAAAAACCATTTACTATCCTATGCTTACCAGACTTTTTAGAAGACCTTATCTTGTAGTACAGGGTCCTGGGTCAAAATTAATCAAAAAATAGAAATAAAAATAATTTTTGTTTTAATCATAGGATATTTTTAAAATGTCTAAAGACGAATTTTCATTATTACCAACCTGGAAGCAAGTCAATCACAAAAAGTCAATCGGAATATTTTAACTCATTGAATAATTAAATTAATGTCATCTGTCCTATAATGATTATTATTATTGTTGTTTAATATGCAATAATCACAACGTTGTTCACACATTTTTAATGTTTTTTGTTATAATTATAATAATTATTCTTTAAACTGGAAAGCAACTTGTAAAGTGGTAAAGTGTGTCAATTGATTCTGCCTACATTAGGGTTCTGTCTATTAAAAATTAGAGGTGGTTGGAGACTAATATTGTTCCTTTTAAATTTATGTACACCATACTAGTAGACTACAATATCATGCTTTATGTATGGTTATTAGTATTAATTGGATGGTTGGTCTAAGTGATGAACTGGCTGGTTCATTTGTTAAGGTGGTTGTCCCAACCATCCCCAACCACCATAGGCAGAACTATACTGGTGGGATGTTTTATGTTTGCATTCTTCACTAATTCTTCATTCAAAAACAATTAATTATACCTGTATATATCACACTGGTCTGCCACATGAAAAGAATGATTTTACCATTATAGTAGACGTGTAGTCTCACCTAGCTACCCTGCTATGTAAGATTAGTATAATGTGTTATTATATATATATGAATATGTACATTTTATATAATCAAGAGCGGATAATTTGCAATTTATTTCTTAGACTAGGAGGAGACATGGCACACAGGTGGTATGTGTATGAAGTGCTTCGTTAATTAATTGTAACATAATGATTTATAATGGTACATAATGATTCCTTAATTGTCAGTTACTACTGGAGTAGTGAGTTTTACACTCTCTAACACTCCTCCATCATTGTTGGCTCAAGTATGTAAGAATAATTATAACCATAAATAATGTTTATGTTACTGGAGGGATTGAGTATATTTTTTGTGTGTATCTGACACTTTTGTATTCTAAGACTGCGTTTACACTACTCCACTCCCCTGAATTGGAATAGTTTTTGCTATCACTGGTTTTAGGTGTTTACACACACAGCCCAGCAGCTGCGTTTTCATTCATTTGAACTTATCATTCGTTTACAGAAGTATCTGCTTAGGTATTCGTTTTCAAATGTCTCCGGATAAGTATGCGCTTTCATGTGTTTTAGTGTAAACTAAAGCTGTATCCATGACAAAAAGTCTCTGTTTTCCAATGAAACCGGAGTAGTGTAAACACAGCCTAAAAGACCGTAAGATAAAAAGACTGTACCGTATCAACTTACGCCCTGCATTACTTTGTATTATACCTGCTTTACAGTTAAATGGTACATTTTGCAATGCATCAATAAATCACTAAAGGGGCAAATTGACTCATGCTATAGCATTTGTTTAATCCAGTCCCAATGCAAGTGTATTTAAATACTGATAAGAAGCATGGGCACCTTTACATTGTAAATGTTCAAATACAAGTGAATTAGGCCAGCTTTTAAGATGAATAATGAATGACAGTTGATTTTATCATTTTAAAAATCTAATATTATGTTCTTTCTGACATTTTACATGTCAAAATAATAATAAAATTAATGTCCATGACAAAATAACTAGCTATTTCTACTGATAAGACA